ATTATAATTGGTATATATATATATAATATCTTATATTTATAAATATTGATATTTTTTATTAATGTATTATCATTCTTATATCTCGATAGATAAAACGAAGATAATGATTTAAATGATTTTGATCTATTTATGTCGTGCTGAGATATCGTCTCTGTTAAAAGATATCGAATAGAAATATATGATACCTTATGGGATTTGATTATTTTAAAATTGTATTTTTATAATACTTCTTCTGAGAATTATTCTATTTATAACGCTCTTATTATATATATATATTTGTCTTCAATATGATCCTCATTATTGAAATATTAGAAGATCTGCATATTGACTTAATTACTCTTGGTCTAAATCCAATTCTAACATGAATTCTTAACATAATATCGCATAGAAATATACAAAAATCTATGATATACTTTCATGGAATTCTTAATATAGAAGCTTGATTTCTCCTTATATCCAAATATAGCTATCAATCCACGACATTCATTCATATCTTCTTGCCACGGCACTCCATCCACCATTCCACGACATATCCCATTCCCGACGAATTCCCATATTCTACGACACTCTCCACAATACCCATGTTTACGCCCCCCCCCCAATACTCCACGATATTCCACACACTTCTCGCCCTCTCACCCGCCTCTCCAGGACATTCCCCACAAATATCCGCCCTCGCCCTCCCCACGATACAACCTCCCACATACCCACTCGCCCACCACTCCACGACAACCCCTACGATCACACGCCTTCGCCCGCCACTCCATGACAATGCGCCCGATCCTCACCCGCCACTCCACGATATTCCCCGCGAATCCCCACGACATACAGGCCCACACATATCACTTCACGATATCTTTCACATATCACTTCACGATATTCTCCACATTTCGGGCCATCACAATCACTCCCCACGATAGATACCTCACTTCACTCTACGATATTATTTCCACCCACATTCATATGCCCTCCACACACATACCCCCGCCCGCCGCTACTCGACACTCCCGTCCTCGCCCGCCATTCCACGACACAAACATACCCTTTCGATTTACGATATCTGACGGATCTATATGACTATACGACAGATACGACAAATCCTCAATTTAATTTTCTATGCTAGAAATAGGAAATTGGCAAAACAATCTTATATTCATTATAATATTGATTATTGATGAATCTAGATATTATTCAATATTTTATCGAACAACATAATAAAATGAAACTTCGCTGATTAGTCAATAATTAGTAGTTCTACCCCATCGTCTAGAATCAGATTATTCTACCAAGCGCCCGCCACTTTCTTCGGCAGAGTCACGTCTCTAAAATCGTCGATCGATTCCTTACCCAATCTGGATTATCCCAACAACATTTTCTCTCAAATTTCACGAGAAATATCAATATAACATTCAAAATCAGATTCGCCACGATATTATTCTAAATAGCCTCATTTTTAATACCTTTAATCTTAAAGATATTTTCATTATTTTTGTAATATCATCAAATATATTATTTGTTCAATCATTCCTTATCTTTGGGAAAATCTGTTATTGCCTGTTCGAAATCCAAATCACGAACTATTGCTTAAAAATCGCTTCTAAAAATATCTCGATATAATCCAGAAATTAGTCTTTATCTCGAAAGATCCAGCTTTGGCCTTCTCTATATTCGGCAATATATTACCTATAGAAATAAATATCATTTCATATATTTACAAATATTTTCACTAGAATACCGAAAAATTCAAAAAATCTCTATAGAAATTATAAATCGGTTCCGGTCGTATTTTCCTAAATAATATAGAAAATATATAATTATATATAATAAGAATAAACTTATTCAAGTTAAAAATCAAGATATCTCCTTATCATCTAATATAGAAGATATATTTCGAATATATCGATAAAAAGATTTTCCCCCAGAGCCTTTCCAGTAAAAGACCCAAAACCCAAGAATACGCTTTCAAGAGTCTTGGGGGTAAAATATTGTGAAAATACATAAAAACAAGAACAAAAGTAGTTTAGAGGTCGATTTGGGTCATGGCTCATATATAGGGGGCCCGTCTTACACAAGGCTTACGCGCGATGTCCGGCATATCTATCTAATTTTCCGAGATTCCCAGGCAGGCTTGGGAAGTCTTCTTCTATAATGCTCCATGCCGAATCAGAACGACACGTGCCCGCTTAACAAATTCGGGGCGGCTGGGTTAACGGCTCGACCCTTGCCATGACTATGCTACTCATCAAGTCTCCGTATTTGACTGCAACAGCTGCGCGAGTGTAGGTGACCTCATAACCACAAGCTTGCACGGCAACGGACTCTACACAAAGTAAACCATCTTAACCTAGGTAGTTTATACACCGCTTATTCCCTTGTGCTCGCCCTTGCACGCGCTTGCGCCGTGCCGTGTTTGGAGCAGGTCCCAAACCTAAATCAAAATATTAAAGTCCGCTGTTAGTCTACGGTCAAGAGCCGGGGGTTTAGAACAACTCTTATATATATATATATACAGATAGTATTCGCCTCTCATAGTTATTTTAGAAAAGTTGTATCTATTCGATCAATTTTCGGTGCAAAATCAACAAAAAAATTGAATATTCTCTGTGCGAGAACAGATTATTCTGTATTGAGGACCGCCGATTTTGTGTTTTGCTTTGCACTTCACCAGTCCATGAAACAGGCCGCTGACAGCGTACATTCTCTGCTGCAGGCCTGATAATGAGGAACACTGTAACACGAGTGCAAACCTTTCTGCGAGCATCGGCAAATCACTGCTTCGACCGCTGTGCTCACCCTTCCCAAGCTGGAAATTCAACATCCACAAGGTGGCAATTTCGCTCTTGCAATGTTCAATGTGTATGCTTTCCAGCTGGTTAGCTCATGCCAATGCAACGGAGGTCCCGTTGCAAGGCATCTACTTCGCAGAGTCAATCAGACATGCGACTGTGAGGCAACGGTCCTGCAGGATCAGGCAGAGTGTGTGGGTCTACCACAGGCAAGGGTGACCTTCATCGCCCAAATCAAGCCGCAGCCGCAAGCTGCCTGCTGCCTAAGAGCAACGACCGTTTCTTGAATAAGGCACGAAGCGGTGCTACCAGTACCATGTCGTGACTGCAAGATTAGTGGGCAGTGACGGAGGGCATGGAGGGCCTCCGAAGAAAGGTTTTGGACACAGGATTGCGCTTGGTCTGCAATCGCAACATTGATTTGCCACTCTTTGGCTTCCCGGAATTTGGGTGTACCTCAGCTTGACATTACTTGTGCGCGCTGCGGAAACTCGGCCGCAGGCGGAGGAGCATTCTGCAAGCAAGGGCAGCAAGCGCAAGGCACCTCCCGCTTCGGCCTTCCGCGTGTGCTCTCGCTTCTCCCTCGTGCCCGGTGTAGGACCGCTGCCTCCAGGTGAAGGACCTGGCAGTGCCGCCACTGAACTGAGTAACTAATCGCACGGCCCTTCGCGTCAGCACCTCGAGAACCGGTCCCATGTCATGCGGATCCTAGGTCTTTGACAATGTGAAGGACTGAGGAGCCGCCCAAAGCTCGGGAGCGGACAGAAGGAAGCACTTCAAACTCGAATTCAGCGCAATCCTTGAAGGTTGCAAGGTCACTTCAGCTCAGCAGCTGCTAAGATCAAGCCTCTGCGTCTGCGTTCGCAATTGCTTTGGGCGGATGCAGCCTACACAAGGGTCTCATTAGGCAGATGCAAGTGTATCGATCATCTTATTTCGACGGCACTCGGCTTGCATCCCTGCGATCGTGTGGAGCAGGCAGCACCATCCGCAGCAGCCACGGTCACTTAATTGACATGAATATGCTCGCAAGCTCTCTGCAGAAAGCAACAGTCTGCGCAACGACCCCGGCCCATTCCCGGAAATGCTGACTTCCATGACAGGCAGTGCTGCCGTGCTGCCACAAAGCCTGCACTGCAAATTCTTGCCTTCGGCATGCACATCCGACCTCTACGAAGACGTCAGGCCTCGTACGACTGAGCTCGCTCGTACCGCGCCCTGTGCAGATCCTATTTGCTCTAAGCAATCGCACTCAGGTGCGAGCCCCGCTGCTGAAGTCAGCACCCTGAAAAGCGCCAGACCTTCAGCACCCAAGTCATGGCATCGGGAAGATTCGGCATTGAAAGCAAGAATAGACAAAACTCGACAATGAGTATGAGTATGTCACGACTGAGAATCAAAGGCTGTCTATCTGTATGCCAGAGCTCCTCGCAGACAGCCTAGCAGCAGTGACCCACGGGTCTTAGCACTGTGCACCATGCCGCTAGTTAGCCAACAGCATGGCTGCGGCGTCAGCGAGAATGTGAGACGCAAAGGTAACCTAGGGCCAGGTAAGGTAGTTGTTGATCCTGACAGGAACTAGCTGGTCCAGTAGGTTTGCATGGAGAACTAAGTTCAGGCACGACTAATTTCGCGACACTAGTCGAAGTATCAAAAAACGAATGACCTGCGCGCGACCAGTATGCAAAAGACTGTGAGGCCAGGCCAAGACTGACACGTTGTGGCTTCTGAGTGGCGTCAAGCTAGTCAGTTGCTGCTGCAAACACGCGTAAATACTCATGCACGTGCAGATTCAAGTGCAGTCAAACTGCAGGCTGGGACGTACGGTTGAGAGCCTTTGAACAGGACGTGCATGTCAGGCAGTGTTTTGGTCAGACTGTGGAGAGGTTTTGGGCGTAGACAATTACGGTACAAGTGATCTTTAAGAACAGCCGTTGGTGTTGGCGTGCCCCCACCCGACCGACCGCCCGGTCGAAAACACACTGATTTTTCCTCGAAGGTGGCAGGGGCCGAAGGGGCCTCGAGCCGAGCTTTGGTCTGCTCCTTCTTCCCTTCTTCTCTTTTCTTCATTCTTTCCTTACTTATTTTCTCTTCTTGCAGCTTTCCTCCTCTGTACCCTGGCACGAGGGGGAACCCGCTTAAGATAACGAACCGAAAGGCCTTTCGGAGGGTCATACTCCCTCCACTTGCCCGGCCCGCAGCGAGGAGGAACCTTCAGCTTCCCGCCCCCCTCTGGCCCGACCGGGTCCTTTTGGGCCTCCGTCATGTTCTTCTACGAACGTGTCGTGGTGTGTGGGTGCCGGCTTCCAGGCCCTGGGTCCCTCCAAAACTCCCGGCCCTTCAGTGCCCCTGCTTCTTGACAGCGGGGCCCTAATTAGGCACAGTTCTGGCCGCAATGGGCACTTTGTTTTGGCTAGGGCAGCCATTGCGGTCCGTCACCAAACGGTTCTTGGCGTCCCTCTTCCAGCCCTTTCCACCCTTTCAGTCTGTCGAGGGAAAGGCGGGCAGGGCAGCTGATACGCGGACTCCTCACCCATACAACGCATACAACCGAGTGTGCAGCTGGGGCTAGGCCCTGCATGCGTCCCCGAGTTGTGGCTCGCCAGGAATCGTGCAGGACCCGGGGAAAGGGCGCGTGCGGGTGATGGTCCAACTTCCGGGTCGGACATTTGCTCCCGGCAAATCCTTCCCGCTGAATGAAGAATCTCCTATCCCGTCTGTTCCTTGTGCAGTCCGACCTGACAGAGCAGCAGCGGTTAATGAGCTCGCTCGCGAACCATAGCTGCCGGATTGAGAGTACACCTATCAGGTAGTGCGAACTACCATGTTTGACCACTTCGCGACCACCCGACAGGCTTAGACATGTGGGTCTGGAGTTGCTCCCGCGGGGGAGTGGCAGCGGCAGTGGCATGCATTGCGGGGCGGGTACGCTAGACGGCGGTCCTACCCACCAGATGCCCTCGCAGTGCTCACGACGACATCTGCATTTTTCCCGTCCAGGGAGCTGGACTATACGAGACCAGTCGGCCGAAGAAACAGAAAGAGCGCTCGCAGCAAGGAGAAACCGGGCCTAGACTTGCCCCTTCTTCCCCATCAGCCGCTCGCCAACCGCTTCGTCAAGACCCATCCAAGCAAGATCACCGGCAATATCAGTGATGGCCGCGATCTGCGCCGCAGTGGGCAGCTCAGCCATGGCTCAAGAAAATCAGGCTACGAGTATCACCTGCACAAATTCCGCTCGGTTCCTGGGCAGCAATGCCCCAACCTGCAGCTGCACACTCGGTTGTTATGCCATGCCATGCACTGCAAGCGTGCGTTGACAGCACCGCGCTTAGTCCGCGTTTAGCACTTCATCGGTTGTGCGCCAAATGCAAGCATTGCAGTTCAAGAAACCAAGACATGTCAAAACCTTTTTCAGTGCTCTGCAATGCTCTGCTCGGATTCTGGTTATGACGTTTCGATGTCGCATCCCGCCCCACCAGGGGGGCACCAAAACTGATTTGGCACGGTTCCCAGGGCCTTGCAAACCTGAAAAGCGCCTCAATGTGCCGCTTGAACAAGCTCTGGTTCAGAATACTGAAGCTTCCGAGTTTGAAGCGCAGCTCCCCCTGAAGATCTTGCAGCCTGTCCTGACGCCAGCTTCGTCTACAACGGCACATTACGACTCCAAACGAAACGCCTCGTGGAGATTGCCCCAGAATACAACCTGTCGAGCCGACATGGCAGCTTGCCCACTTGCTTGGCTGCATGACAGTCTTGACATGTCAGTCCTTGCCGCGCAACGGTTCGCGTCTCGAACCTGGCACATTGTATGGCTCCAGAGTCCAGGTCGATGACACACTCGGTGCAGCCATAGGAGCCCGGCTGGCGCTAGATGAAGAGAACCAGTGTAGCGGGCCCTTGCAAAGAAATCTAGAAGTCATGCAAGCCTTTACAGAGTCAAGGTCGAGTGTGAAGAGGCTTGCGATTCGAGCCCCGTGCGCTACCAAACCTTGGCCAGCTCTGAGCACTTTGGCAACGCAATTCCAGCGTTTCTACCTTGGCCTGCCGAAGCCTCCCGGGATCATCCGGGGATCTCCCGGGCGTGTCCGGGTGGTGCGTAGGTGTAGGGCATCCAATGCGTCCCGAGCAGCAGGGAAAAAGACCAGGAGCTGCCCGCAGCAGGAAAGGCCTCGCATCGGCTCACGAATTATTCCTGGACCTGGCTTTCAATCAATCGCCGGGGTCCGAAGATGGTCGGGCATGATCTCTGTTAAGCTGAACCAGCTACAGACAGTATCCCCAGCGACGACAGAAACCTTTGTTCACACCTATAGACCAGCGGAGACACAAGCACGCGAAAGCGAGAAGATGCCCACACCTCCAGCAGCCCGGCGTCACATGCTCGGGGGAACTGCAAGCGAAACGATTCACAACATTGCGTAACATGTCAGCTGAAGTGGGTGGATTTTACTTAGGATCAGCATGGCTCATTTGACTCATGCAAGATGGCTTAAGAGACATAGTCGTGGATTTTCTCAAGAGGCACTCAAGCACCCACTGTGTCGGTCCTTCGGACCCCTGCTGTAAGCCGGAGCGGGTATGCCGCACCTCGAGATGGCGCAATGTATGTGGACTGCTGTGTAACGCATTGAAGCTCATGGCAACTGTGTAGATGCAGACCTCCGCGGAGATGGACTGACGCTAGGTCGAAGTTGTCCGAACCTAGCTACTGCCCACTCCATAGTGACATAGTGTAAGACCCAGGCATGCAATCCATTCGTCTTCGTTGGACGACTTGGCATTGGCGTTCTGGGGCCTTGGCACTGAATTGTCGGACGTTGCATCGCAATCTGTGCTTTTAGACCGCTTTCAGCATTCACCTTGTCGAGTCTTGCCGTTGGCTGTTGTTCTCAGTGCAAGGCCTCTGGTGCTTGTTCAGCAACGGCCAGATCACATGCCTGACACGGAAGACTCGAGATTTGGAAAAGGATTCACACGTCGACACGAACTGCGGAGGACGAAAGGCAACCAGCTCGATCGGCAGGCAGAGTTGTGGCCAGCTCAAACTTTGAAGCCGCCTCCAGCTCTCTGCCGAGTATTTCCGGAGCATCGAGACCTGACGACACTCAGCAATGGCTCCGAAATGGTGCCTGTGTCCGCTAGGTGCTCTGTAACGTCTTGAAACAAGAACCTGTCAGGTTGTCATCAAGCGATGGCACCTGCTCTGGCGTCTGGCCACAAAAGTCTTGCTGGCGCTTCCACGAACACATTCTCTGATATGAACTCCCCGGGCATTGGCTGGGAAGCAGCGCCGAGCCCCCGGCGCTCGCTGCGCTCGCTGCGCTCGCGTTCCAGCTCCGTCGAGGATGATGAGCGTGCCTCGGCCTGTAGAATTGCACTAGAAGTGCACTCTTAGAAGGACAAGGTGGACAAGGTGCACAACGGCTGTTTTACGCGTTTCGTTTCTTGAAACGTGCTGTCAGCTACTCAACTAAGTTCTAAAGCCTAAGCTAGCAGACTCAAGGGGGGTAGGAAGGAGATCTGGACCCATCGGGAGCAGTAGGGTTTCACAGCAACTGCGCAGTTTATGCAGGCTCGGGTCGTTGCGCCTCCTTCTACCCCCCGTGCTGGGCAACTCCTAGCAGAATGCCATAGGGGTCCCTCCTACAGTCTGCAGAAACATGCTCGGTCCAAGTGCAACCACTTGTGATCTAGGATTGTGGCCAGCAGACGCTCGCCCCAGACACTGAGCTGTGCAGCTGCTTCGCCTGGCAGACTGTGCCAACTCTCCTCTGTTCTAACAGAATGTTGGAAGCCACGAAACATGATGCGTGACACGCGCGACAACATGGCTTCGCGCAACAAAAACACACAAGCAGATACCCTGCGCTCCTTTGGAATCGACGTCAGCCTGGCGAAGGGATATTTACTTCGGAGTCTCTTACAGGATGTATTGCTGGGATGACGAAGTATGACATCACTAGCCTCGGAGACATTCGAAACGGAGCGGTACCGCATGCTTGTCATGCCTGGCGGCTTCCGGAAACATTGCTCCAACATGGTGTCTGGACCCTGTCCGGAGACCACATGAAGTGAGGAAATGCAAAGGAGAAGCAGTTCAGCAAAGGAAAAAGTCATGTGAAAGCGGAAGAGGGCAAAGATGTTCTGTGCTGCGCTGAGATCCTTCGCTTTCTGAGGCCCGTGCTGGTACAACAGTGACCACCAGGCAATAGCAAGCCTGCAGAATTCTGCAGAATTGCAGGCGCTGTGCCATGGGCCCCGTTGCAGGTTTTCGACGTAGTGCAAGGATTTTGAAGACAGCAATGGTAGCAGGTCTGCAGCACAATGCCAGAGCTCCGGGCTTGAGGGTCATGCTCCCCTAACGGCTTGGAAGATGCAAACCACAAACTGATGTGCACCCAATTGTATGGACTTCACAGGGCACTGAAGCGCTTCGCGAAGCACCAATCCTCTTACTCACTGGACCACTTGGCCCCTCCGATCGCCCCGGACAGAAACATGACCGAGTCGACTCCGACCACGCAGTTGCCTTCTTTTGCCAATGGTCTTGCGGGCAGGAACGGTGACATTCGCTCATTCCGACAAGCTGGTGGCATCCAGTTCTTCCCCGAAGCCGGCAAATGCAACATCGCTTTCCTCCCGCGCAGTTGTGCTCAAGATGCCCGGAAACTGACTGCTGCCCGGTCCTTGACCACCACCTCAACTTTGGAGATGGAACCGAGGGTTTTACCCCGGGCAAGTTCCTTAAACCACATAGATTGACCACCTGCAACTGCACAACTCCCTAGCTTCACGGAAAGGCTCCTCCGCCAAATGTTGCTTCAGCCCGGAGACGAAGCGCTTGTGGACGGCCTTCCGGTCAAGCTTGAGATCGCTAGGCTCGGATCAGGACGAAACGCTCCTCTGCCATGACTTCCACCGTCGTGTTTCGACGCGAAGGCGTTTGAAATTCCTCCTCAGCGACCGCCAGTGGACCGCCAGGCACCAACACCTCTGAGTCCAACGCTGCGCTGTCTGTCTCGCTGCGTCCCGGCATCCAGCTCATCGAGGTTCTTATGATCGTATCGCACCATGATCTCGCGCAGCAACTGCTGGCCGACGCTTATGTCCATTAAAACGTCACCTTCGCCCAAGGACCTTCCCATGCGCTCCCACACACTTGCATGCATGCTCTTCTCGGAGCAGACGGGCAGCAGGGCCTGCCGAAAACTTTGACCTGGACCACAGCCGTACAGCCCGTGGTGAATGGCTCGCTGCCACCTCACTTCTGCCCAGGTCCGCGGACCGCAGAATCCCAAACTCTGAACGGCTTCAACAATGCGAATCGGCAGCTGAAGTGGAAGGTGTGCGAGTACATGCAGCGGTCTTGCACACCGATGAAGAAGGTCCCGTACGATCGGATCAATTCCTCAGGGAGCTAGGGCAGCTAGGGTCTGCACATTTCTGCTCAAAGACCATGCGACCATCATCGCGATGTGGGCCCGGCAAACTTGCTTGATGCTCGAAGGGGCCTCCAGGCCTTCCTAAGGCGGTCCTTGACAAGGATTTTCTTCGCGTGGAAGTGCCTTCGGACTCCTGCAATGCTTTCCCTTTCAATAGGTTCCCTGCTCGAGTCTGCTAGAGTCTCGAGAAGCTCTCTGGTCCGGCATAGAGAATCTGCTGAAGCGGCGCATGCAGGGCCATAGCCGGAACTCTGCGAGCTGGAGCTGCAGCCGCCCAGCTTGAGCAATCGGCGCTTCCAGCAAGTTTCGAGGCAGAAGGAGGGCGGAGAAGCCCTAAGCCCTAAGCCCTTAAATTCCTTTCAAGAATTCCTTAGGCCCTGCCGCCCTGCCTTGCTTGAATGCATGCTCCGGCGAGCACAGGATCATCTTGAAGGACCTTAGAGATTCAAAGAAAAGGCCCCCCTTCCGCTTCAGCTTCAGGGCCACTGCCGATGCGCCACATGCTCTTCGGCAGCTGCGGAGCTGGAGCCCAAAAAGATTCCGCGAGTCTTTGGTGGCCCGGTGGGTGCCGGTGGCACAGCAGGGCACACTGTTTTGCAAGGAGAGCGATGCGAGGCAGACAGAGCTTTCCCCAGCAACTAATGTAGGCCAGTGGCACCGGATCGATTGCAGAGCTCTCTCTGCAAAAACCGCTCCGGGTGATCCCGGTGGTAAGCACCGGTGGTAAGCAGGGGTGGCTCAAAGAAAACACGCGGCTAAACGAAGTTCTGCGAAGAGGCGATCAACAAACTTATGCGAAACCGTCATCATTTGCTCATCAGCCTGTGCTCCCTTGAGCCTTAAGCAAACTCAAGCTCGCGAATCAAGTTCCCTTGTATGTTGGCTACATTTAGCTTCAAGCTACCAGGTACACATCGCTTCACGCAGCTCACATCCAGGCAACACAGCCAGGAAATCACAAACGCGACGCACAAGTTTCCGCGTCGAAGAAGTCTTCCTATTTTCGTTTTGGGCCACGCACACAGCGTGTTTGGAGGCTGAGCCAGCTCGTTGCTTTGATGCGACATGATGCGAGGTAGGGACCCACTGCCGTGCTTCCCCCAAATCTGCATTCCGGTCCGTAGTTTTCGGACTATTCCGACTCCATCTCCATCTCAAGCATCCTGGTGGCAAGCAAGATCAAACAGCTCAACTCAAGATGCAGATGAACTTCCACTGCCTCTCTGCAAGAAGTCTGTGCAGAGAGCCAACAGCCAACTCGACCTTAAGCCCCGATGTCCGCGGTCTGTCCTGGTCCACCCCCCGCGTGTGGCTTAGCGGAATCCTCTCAGTACGAAAGAAACTCAGCAGCTGGGATCGACGAAAACATGCCAGCTCGCGCCATCCCAGCACTTGCGTCTTCAGGTTTTTGCCCATGACCTTTGAGGAGTCGGAGCCACGTCCCGCAGCCCGTCAAAAGTTGCAAGACGTATCTAACGTTACTGTTCAGCATCTGGCCCATCTGTCAAAGGCATCGCCATCATCATCCTGCAGGCATTTCTCGCGTGGTGCGTGCCAAACTGATCGGCAAGGCACGCATTCCGAACACCTCGACCACCTCAATCATGTCGCCAATCTTGAGATCCATCTCACCTGCATGACTCGAATTCTGAGGTGGCCACATAGCCAGTTGCACGGCTGCACACAAGCTGTGAATTTCTTCCACATCTCAGGTCTTCGCCTGACGTCTCTCCGACGAAGTCGATGGACACCACGCGAGTATAAGGGACCTGTGTCAGCAACTTGCTTGCCTGGGCCTCTGACTGCAAGACTTCAACGACTTCACCTTCGGCTTGTCAGCGCTTTTCGCCGTGGCAGATCGCCCCGGCACGGTGCTGTTGCCACCAGCCTGGGGCAAACATCGAGGGATGGCAGGACTGCGCAGGGCCCTACAGGCAGCTACTAGGTAATGCCAATGTGAGCATTGTTGCCAATTGTTGCAGTCCTGTGCAGAGGGGACTTAAAGGAGTGATCATGGAATCCTTGGGCAAGATTGAATAACATTGAAACTAAACTTGGACTATGTCGGCAACGTTCAGACTTTAGCTGGCTGACGAGGTTCAACACTTTCTACTCGTGCTTCGATCAGACGATGCCATATTTGCTGTCAGCAATAGCCTGAGGACAAAATTCAGACACCGTGAAATCGGGTGCGATCAACCTGGTGCTGCTCACTATGATGTCTTGAGGAGTGTCTACGACGCAGTGTTACGAGCTCACAAGCATGAGGTCTAATCATGTCTATTCCATCCCTGGCTCAGGGCCCGTCCAAACTCATTGGCTTCGAGAAGCCCGCTGCACCTGATCTGCTTGCGCAAAATCGATTCTGCAGGTCAGCCCGTCCGATCAAGATGTGGCGGATGAGTTCTACGGTGTCGCAGGAGCTTGACCCATTGATTTCTATGCACGCCATTGCACGCCTGTGTGCTGAGCCGGCGGCTGCGAGCTCCAGGGGGAGCATAGACTTGGCTGGGCGCCCTGGAACCTGGAAAGGAGTCAAGTCCAAAAGCCCCCACTGCCCAACTCCCTTCATCCCCATTCCCCTTCAGCGCCAAGCTGGCGTAACCATTGGTACCTCCGAGGCGAATGCTGGTGGCGGCCTGAGATAGTTGCATGGACATGGACGGTACCAGTGACATCAGCACTTAATTCAGATCCACCGCAGACGCATCTCCGCAAGCTTCTACCAAACGTTTCTATTAGCGTCGAGGCCGTGGCCCGGGTAGAGCCCCGCTCCATCGCTGAATCGGTCGAGCCTGGCAGAGGCAGTTCACAAAAGCAGGGCGGCCTGACGGAAAAAAACACCGCCAGCCTTGGCTCGCCGCTTGCAAAAATGTGCAGGCATTCAGGTACACTCGGCATAGACCCTCCTGCAGCGGTTCAGTTCATACCTACTTGCAACAGTCCACACCCAAAAAACGTTTGTAAATCAGCTGCAAGAATGACTGCATCAGCTCGTCTCCTTCGCTGTGATGTGCACCTTGTGGTTCGCGTGCCTCTACATGCATCGAGATCGCTGCAATCCCACGTCACGTTCGAGCGGAAGTGGCTGTCCCGCTGCACGAATACTTCAGGCCTGAACACGATCGTGGCACCCTTGCTGCTGGACCAAGTCACTGTCTCCTGGCTGCAATGCTTGGGGCTCAATCTTTCAACAAACATTGTACGTGAGAGGGAAACTGCAGATAGCCTGATTCAGGGTACCTCCCAGATGCAACCACTCGGGATGTTTCCACCCCAGTCTGCCCAAATCTGGCCTTCTCATAGTCAACTTCAGTGGTCCCATCCTGCCCAGCTAGTGCCCTCTCGATCTCGGACTTGAACTCCTGTCGCACACTTGGAAAATTTTTGGTCTCGACCACGACAGACAGCAAAATCCTGTGCGTTCTCGCAGATCTAGATAAAGTGCTTGCCGGCACATCCTGCATGTCTCCGGGATACGAGCGCTCCAAGTTCTTCATTGGCTCCTGGCAGGCTGCAAAAGGAGACTTGTATTCAAAGCCTTGCAAAAAGAACCAGTTCGCTTACTTCGATTGGTTCGTGCATCATCATCGAAATCGTGTAACAGTCGTGCTCTGGGAGTCGTGCTCTGTGGCAATGGGCTCTCTCACCGGAAGCTGGAAATGAAACAAGTTCGCGGGCGTGCCTCAGTCCGACCCGGGCCAGGGCCTCTGCCTGCCAACTCAGGTCAGTCCGCTTAACGACCAATTGGATCCTACTAATTACTAATTCCAACAAGATTCGTCGTAATGCTCTTTTACATTGTAACTAAGCAGTATTCCTGCAACGCCGATTGGCATGCTCCGCAGGCACCTGATGCATTTGTATGCACCCTGGTCAATCATGATTGCCAAAATCGAGGCTCCACACCAGGCTCCTCCTAACGAGCCACGGGCGACTTGGCGGGGAAGATGGAGTTCAAAGGACAGGCCCTTCACCACTGTCTTGCAGAATCGGGGACTGCATATGCTTGAGCAGGAAACCCTCATGAGCCTCAGAAGTGCACCAACATTGCCCTCATCCTTGCCCGAAGACTGGCCAGGACTGCTAGGCTTCTTCTCGCCATAGTCGGGGCTGCCAGCCACCGATCGAAACTGGCCGGCGGAAGCATTGAATGTTCAATGGCTACTGGCATGGATACTGGCAGTTGGTTGCGCTACAATGTCAGGAAGGCCGTGCGACGGAACCAAAACCGGCCGAGCAGAATCGCTCCCAACCCGAACCCATCGGACCACACCAAACCGCACCGAAGCGGCAAGAACGTGACCGCCCGGAAAGGAAAAGCTAGAGACGCCCGTTTAAGCGAGCAGAAACGAACAGAAGAGACTCGAATACTTCTGCTTTTGTCGCTTTAACTATCGAGTGGCAGACTTGCAGTGACCATTTTAAGACTGAATTTAACTGTGGAAAGACTTCCTGTTTGCCAGAACCGAACGGCTACATTTTCAAGAGAAGCTCAATCTCTGTAAAATTCAAAGTCCGATGTTATTTTCCGGCTTGGTTGTCCTATCGATCTCCTTGTCATGTGCTTGGGATGTGAGGATTCAGCCGCTCGCTTTGTGCTGAATATTTTCAGAAGTGAACATCCCAACGCTATGCCAAAAAGTTGACCCTAACAGTGCTACAAACCGTCTGCTTTTTGCGATGAGGGATTGTTTTGCCGCGCCGGCAATCCAGCCGAGCTGCTCCCACCCCCCGATGCTACGCTGGACAAACTCTTACAGGTCGAGAATGCTGGCTGATCAACTAGTGCAGCATTCGGCCGGATCCTTTAACTGTGGATGCCTCAAGGCATCTAATGATTTAATTGTAGGGGAGGGGAGCCAAAATGGACGAGGTCTCACAATGTGCCACACTAGATCCTGCAGGATATTCAGAAGCAGTGGGGTGCGCTGGCATTGGCGTGCACGGCCTTGATTTGTGCACCTTGACGAGCTGGAGCAGTGCTGGTGTCCCTGACGAAATTGCTTCAGCGGGCTCTCAAATCAGTAAGGAGGGGTTCACAGTTGTTCACATCTGCTTCATAAAACCGAACTTGCTCCAAGTTGCTGGAAGCGCTGCACTGACCGCGTCTCACCCTTGTACGATGGAGCCACCCAGTCTGTTGTTGGTGTGCCTGGGCACAGGAGCTGATTGTGCAGAGTGACTCCCGGGAAGCCACTGGCAGAGACAGGTAAAGATTTCAGATTTTTCTCTCGCTAGGCACCATCCCTGCGCAAGCAAGACCAGAAAGCAGTCGGAAAGCCACACCTTCGGGGGTTAGTCCTCCGTTTGTCGGCGTGCTTTGTGCTGAATTGTGGCACGCGCCACGCATGTCATGCAAACAGCTAGAAGCGACTAGATGCCACTCCTGCAGTCAATTTCTGCGATGAGAAGCAACCAAAACAATTTGAACGGAGACTGCGTTTAAACTCGCAGTTTCAAAGCTGTACAGCGTTCAGAAAGTATTGTACGATTTGTCATTCTTTGTCCAACCTGATCGCAGCCATCAGCCCAGAGTTGCAGTTTGTCCGAGCATTCTGTGTGTGCGCATGGCATTGGCCAAGGGAGTTGGAAGTAAGCAGAAGCGCGGCCGCTTTGTGTCCGGCTCCTCAGTCATGTCGACATCTTCATCTGGCATCACGCAGGACTCGTTCGCGAAAGCCTGACCGAGAAAATGAAAAGGCTGGACGACGCGCATGCGGGCACGAAGGAGCAGGGGTGTTCGTACTGTGCCCCATGGGCGTGCGCGTCCGTCCGTCCGTCCGGCGGGCAGGCGGGCGTGCGCTTGTGCATGCGCTGTGCGTGTGACGGCACACGAAAGTTGGGGTCTCTAGGCCCACAAAGCTAAGCGCTGTCGATGGCTGATTAGGCTTCCAAGTGAAACATGCACTGTGCTCGGAATGCGAAACCTCACATGAATCGTGATAACCTCGGTCCTGACAGCGTGCGCTTGTGCGTGCGATTGTGCTTGTGCTTGCGCTTGCGCTCACGCTTCTTCTGCTTGCGCCTGTGTTTGTGTTCGTGTCTGTGTGTCTGCGTGTCTGTGTGTCTGTGTGTGTGTGTGTTGGTTGTGT